TTTGTTGCATTCTCTAGTTAAAACCGGTTAAGAATGGAATCTTATTCTGTCCCTTAAATGTTCCTTCCTTCTTTGAAGGGAGCTCAGAAGACCATCCTGTATAACTCTGCTTCTGCTATACACAGCATTTATGCTGCAGGGACTTGAATTGCAAAACCACCTCTGTAATCCTGACATCTTCTAATTCCATAGCATGATTTTCAAATGGAGAAAAGTACTTACACCATCCGTCTGTGAATGCAGTGGAGCGAGACCTATGTAGCTCTATAGAAGCACTAGATAGAGAGTTGACTTCTAAAGATACTTCAATGGTCTAATTCTTGTACCTTTAGAAAGGGTTAGGTAACTTTCTCATATCCTCTTCAAAATAATTATTGCAGCAGTCCCTACCTGGAAGGTCAGTTAAGTTATTCTGCAAGTTGGAGTGGAGAAATCACACACCTGAATTCTGTCCCTTGCTTAGGTTTTAATACTATCTGTACATTAAAAGGAGAGATGGGGGAGTTGAGCCCCCAGGCTCTGAAATGCTCTTACTGAGGGACTAGGAGAAAATTGCTTCAGTGGCCTAAAGGTCAGTTCTACCTAGTGCCTTAATTTTCTGCAAGAAATGGGAGCCTTAATCTATGCTAAAATAACCCTCCTTCCCCCAGCTCTGAGATGGCCTTATTCCACCCTTGAAAGCGTTCATCTGAGACAGATTGGTCTCTATGTGTTAGGTCTGCTTTCTGAATAAGACTAAAATTGCACTTGCTTTTGTTAAGCAAACTTGAGCTAGTGTTTGCAGTGGTGGAGGGAGAGGGAGTCTATTCACAGGGTGTGTTTTTACGACGACTGTATTCTGGCTGGGTTAGGGACTGCTGACTGGTAAGGACAGTAGTAGTCTTTTCTCAGAAAAACTAACTAATTGCCCATTGTGGTGTTCTGGAGAAACATCAGAAGAAAATAGTCTGAGCTGAGTTAAGGTTGAAGATAGTGTTGTTATTCCAGCCTAGACTGTAGGTATCTCTTTGGGCAGCTTGTTCTGTCTGTGTTGTCTGATTGTGCTGTTTCAGATGAGTTAGACTTGTGGATTTACACTGTATCTGGTAACGTGGTTCCTGCTGTTTCACTTGATGCGGTGAGGAGATTCTCCCTCTTCGTGAGGCTGGACTTCCTCATTGGTGCACTGAATTTAAACGTCTTACGGCTGAGAGCTGATGGAGAAGCCTAGCATTGCAGCGCTGATGCACACACTTAATAGGTAGGCACCAATTACTAGTTAATTTCCTCTGTCCGTGGATCCCATGAATATATGTATACACACTTATATATATGTATACTAGCATTGAATTGTGAGCCCCCTCAGATAAGTAATATTTCAGAAATGTAGTACTGCCTCTAAAAAGTTTTCATTTTCTTGTTCCTGCTGTGGGATTTCTTGAGAAAATGTTATTTGCACATGTTCGTTCTTGAAGTCTACCATAGCCAAGAGAGCTTTAGTTAATGCCAAACATGTGGATATTTTGAAGCTAGTGAATGGTCTCTGGGGAGAACTTAAGCTTAGAGGGAACACTGGTTTTCACAGACACTCCGAATGGCTGTCTTTTAGAAGGCTGCAGATTTTATTTTCATGCTTGGAAACCCCACAATGTTTCAGTCTTTGCAAAAACCTTTTAGATGTGGTTCATGAATATACCAGTAAGTATATGTTTGTGTAAAAGAGTGACTGTGCAGTGTGTAAATACTTTAAATTATTACGATAGAAGAATAAAGTTGCCTACCCCGCTGAGGAGCGTCTGTAACATGATGTTAGTGACCCCTGGTGGGGTGCAGAGAAATTGGGGACTGGGGGGGGCTGCGCACCGGGCGGGCAATCCATAACCCAGGGCCCGTATTTATTTTCTAGCCATCACTTGCTGTGTAGGAATGTGCTGAATACAATCACCATACTTCCTTGCAGATGCTTACTTCCCTCTTCTAAATTAGCTGTGTAATGAAATTTATGATCAGCAGCTGCAAAGCAGGCCAGTTTATTGAGGAGACTGTGTGGGAAACCAGCGGCAGGAAACATCCACTCCGGATCCCACTTGTACGCTCGTCCTTGCAGTATTTGCAGAGATATTTAGAAGAGCTTAGACACAGCGGTCTGATTTTTGCAGTGGCTGTCTTGAGAAAGGTTATGAAGATCCTGCTTTCAGGTTACTGGATAACTCTCAAACCAGAAGGACCTTGGGAGAGAAAATTAATTGCTGTAAAACTGAAGAGGAAATTGAGGGATTGAAAGAATAAATGGTACAGAAGAGTCCTTAAGGTTGCAGAAGCTTGTATAATAAGATGATCTGCTAAACATGCATGGGAGCTTTAATATTTCAGCTGCAAGGCTGATCACTTAGCATGAAGGTAAACTGAAACTGCCAACACTTAAAACAAGCTGTATCAGACACGTACCAAGAAACATAGACCTAAACTTCGAAGGTTTTTTTTTTTTTTTTTTTTTTAGCTACAGCTAGAATTAGGAGTGGGGGAGGAACAAGAAGGTATCTGTTGTTGGCCTTGGTCAAAAAAAAAAAAAAAAAAGCCAAAGCCTTAGATGTTACTGGCTTATTCGAAAGAATATTTTTAAGTCTCTTCTGTAGCATTTCTAACCAGTGTATCTTCTAACCCTGTACTAATACGGCCTGTGAAGAGCAGCTGGGTTTAAGTCTCTGTGTTTATAGCTGTGGAGACCGATGACGTCCCCAGGACACGCAGGCAGCGTGTCACAACACCAGGCGGAGATTCGGGTGCTCGAGCCTTCATCTTCGATGCACGTGCAGCTCCCAAACAAAGGTGCTGTAGATGGAACTAGTACCCTCAACAGACTGTCAAACAAATATTGCTTTTCCCTCGCTATCACACTCCCACTTCTGAAAAACCCGCCTGGAAGAACGAGCCGTATAGCACACCTATGAAGAGGGGCACAGCCTGAAGATGAGGAAGAGCAGGGCCTGAGAACAACCTGCCGCTCTCTTGTGTGGTTAAATTAGGGCCCTTCCATATACAAGCACACCAGTGCAGCTCATTTCTAACAGTTGCTGCCTTGCAAGCAAATAAATCCTCAACCATTTACGTTCACATACATAAAAATTATGGGTACCATGCATTTGCTTTATGGTTTTTGAGGCTGTGGGACTGGCTATTTACTTACACTGCTGCAATTTACTTACGCTGCTACAGTAAGCAAGCAGTGCTGCAAGCTCTCTATCACCTAATGACCGCTTCGTTAGGGGACACAGTTAGAAAACCCTTCATTGTGGCTTGTGGGTTTCCTCTCTCGTGTCAGACTTGTAGTAACGTTTCAAACCTTGTGCTCATTTTCTTCACATAGGTACAGCTAGGGTATTGTACACTGAGGTTTTCATGCTTTGGGTTATTTTAATTCCCATCTGTGTCTTGCCTGATAAACAGTGTTTCTTTCTGTCTTTCCCCATTCTAGGCTTTCAAGAATGCTGGCTATATAATGCCTAGCCCTGACTAGTAATAACTTGATTTTTTTTTTTTTAAAAAAGCTATACAGTGCTGTTTAGAAATTAAACTTTCTCTGTGTGATGATGCTAGTTCTCTCCATCTGTATTCAAAATAAATGAGGGCTGTGTGTGTCAGTGTTGTTCATTAGATTTTATCATTCTTATTAATTAGCTTGTTTTGGAGCGCAACATAGCCCTAGATCAAATACAAGTATGCAGGTAAATTTATTGTACTGTTGATGGAAAACAATTGCATCTGATCTGGTTCAAAATTCTTTTAATCTGACTGTGTTTGTAAATTATACTTCATTGAAATTAAAAGCTGTTGATTAGTAAACCAACTGTGAACAGTAAGATTGATTACAGAGTCAGATAAATAGAGGAGTAAGCCTCAGACCTAATAGCTAGGTATAAAAACATAATGTTGTAGTTTGTGCAGTGCCAGTAATATTTGTTTATGGGAATTATTTTCATGAATACTGCAGTTTTAAAGCTTAATTTCCACTTTTTTATATGCCGTAACAGTAGGAAAATAATCCCTTAAAAATACAAACCATATACTTTATGTAGATTTTAGTATGTGCTGAAGGCTGGATCTATAAAGAATGTTATATGTTCTGTTGGTGTGTGAAGTGTTTAAATCCAAAACCGAGATTCACAGTACAGGATCTAGGACTCCAGGATCCCTGTCTCACTCTATTAATCCAGTCATGCCCCCTAAGGAATCTTTATTTTTGCTGCTGAGCAGATAAAAAAAGTCTTGGGGGTGATGCCTTCACCCTAGCCAGATTCACAAGTCAATCATTCAGCTGCCTAATTTACTTGCAGGACATTTTTGGCGGGTATTCTACCTGATTAGTCCACATGTCTGACACAGTTGATGGTAAGAATTATTTATAAGTAAGTGCAGCGATTTAAGCATTCTGCCCCGGCTTGGGAGAGGCAAGTTAAAATTCCTCCTCTGCCTGAGCAGAGATTTGATCTTTCACATCTTGAGAGAGTGCCAAATCCCTAACAACCGGGAGGTATTCACAAATAAATGCCATTCTGCTTTGTTAGAAAGTGATAGCTTTATCCAAATAAGGTCTTAGGTGTCTTGAAAGAAGCTGGAGGCATACTTTACTCTTTAGATTTATTTCAGCTACGTTCAGTAAACTAAACATGTAGCCCCTCTCTGTACTCAGTGGAGTCAGAAGCACTATATTAGGCTGGATGAATTGTCTCCTGGAGGTGCCTAGCAATGTCCTTCACTAGAGAGACATAAAACTTTTAGGTAACTGAAGTCAGATGAAGGGAATCCAGGCCTGAGGACTAAATCAAAATTTCCAAGTTCAGCTCGTCCTCGGGGACTACTTGCATTTACTAGAAACAAGCTAGCTGGCCCCGGTGCTTCCTGCGCAGCACCACACGTATCTCCTGTCCAAGCCTGGATGAGGCACACCAGTTGGCCTCTGAAAGTCCCACACCTGACCTGCTCAGCCTGGTCTGAGCATTGAAA